CCTCCTCAAGTTCAGTAACTCTCTGGAAAGACTCACACAGTTCAGGGAGCCATTTAATTAGGTTTACTGTTGTTTTATAAAGGATACAATCTGGGCCTAGTGGCACATGGCTGTAATCCCAGCACTTGGTAGGCTGAGGCAGGATAGCCTGGACTACATTGTTTTAGGCCATCTTGGACTACATAGCAAGACCCTATCTCAAAAAAAAAAGAAAGAAAGAAAGAAAGAAAAGATACAGTTTAGGAACAGTCATTTGTGAGAAATGAGATACAACTCAGGAACAGTCAATTGTGAGAGAGGCATAGAGCTAGAAATGGGAAGGAATGCGTGTACTTTCCTGCCCTATCTGGGCATACCACTCTGCTAGCATCTCAGTGTATTTATTGAGATAGAAGTTCTTCCATGTCCTATGTGAAGGTAGTTTATTAGAGGTTTCATTAAATAGGCACTGCGGACTAAATCGTTAGCCATTAGTGATTGAGCTCAATCTTCATCCACTTTCCTACCAAGATTTTGAGGATGTTCCAAGTCTGTAATGCTTTGATGTAGAGTCTAGCCCCCACTTAGAATCTTCTAAGCACCAAGAGTGGGCTCATTAATGTAAACTCAGATAATAATCGAAAGAGACTTGTGAATAACAAAAGGGGGAATTGCATGGGTTTTGAGAACTCTGTGTTGGGAACCTAGGACAAAGCCAAAAATTGGTACAGTATATGTTTTCTATTATAATGTAGCAAGTGATAGAGTTGTTCTCTAAAAGTCTTCAGTTACTCCTTATTTTTATTTATTTATTTATTTATTTATTTTTGGTACCCGGGATTGAACTCAGGACCTTGCACTTGTCAGGCAGGTGGCAGAGCCACTGAGCTAAATTCCCGGCCCATTACTTTGTTTTTTAATGAAGGTCTTGCTGAGTTGACCAGGCTAACCCCTCTTGTGATCTTCCTGCCTTAGCTTCTCAAGTAACTACAATTACAGGTGTGTGCCACCATGCCCAGCTTTTAGTAATCTTTTAAAATCTTTAGTTTGAAATAATTTGATTTATAAAAAGTTACAAAAGTTGAAGAGATAATCCATGTGTACTCGTCATTCAGTTTCCTATAATATGGTAAATTTACTAAGCATAACACAGTGATCAAAACCAAAACGCTAGCTGGGCATTGTGGTTCACACCTGTAATCCCAACATTATGGGAGACAGGGGCAGGAGGTTTACAAGTTCAAGTCCTGCCTGGACAAGGTAGTGAGACCCTGTCTCAAGATAAAAAATAAAAAGGAATGAGGATATAGCTCAGTGTGAAGGCTCTGGCTTCAAGAAATTAAACTGAGCACTGTGGCTTGCCTGTAGCCCCAGCTACTTGGAAGATTGAGGTGGGATTATCTCTTGAGCCTGAGTTCAAGACCAGTTTGGGTAATATGTAGAGACCTTGTTTCAAAAAATGAAAAAAACAAGAAGCAAGAGTTGATGCAATGTAATTAACTCAGTACAAAACTTACTTAAAACTTACTTAAAATTTTTCTTCTACTAATGTTATCGGTAGCTCCTAAAAGTGGCTCACCAATAAAATGTTACCAGGTCCTGGGTTGTTCACCTCTCCCTCTGGAGTTAGATTCTAAGCTCTCCTCTGGAACAAAGAATTGAATAAAACTAGCAAAAAGCGGTGTCAGAGTTTGTTTGGAAAAGTAAAAGTAAAGAGTGATGGAGAAACTGGCTCTGTAGCATGAGCTTGGGCTGAGTAAAAGGAAAAGGAAGATAAAGCAGGGTGAACTATCCTAAGGAAAGCCTCACTAGAGGGCTCCTCATGGCTTCTGCATCCTTGCCTGTTGTCCAAATCTTGAGGAAACCATGAGAACTCTACATATGGGTCCTAGGAGGCTGTGCTGGGATCCCATATCTTAGGGTAAGTAGGTTTCTCACAAGAAGTCTACATGCCAGGCTTTGGGAACTGTTCTGCCCATGTGTCCAGGATCCCGTAATTAACAGGTCATGTCTACTTTCTCAGCCATTTTTGCCATGCCCTAACCTCGAGTGTCACTAATCCAGCATCCAACCCATTATTTCAAACTTTGTTTAGTTGTTATACCTCATCTGTGATGGTCATTCTTTCCTTGTCTTTCTTAGTCTCCATGTTTTGATGAGCACTAGTAATTTTGTAGAATGCCTCTCATTTTGGGTTGCATTTGTTTTGGTTTGGTTTTTTTGAGACAAGGCCTTGCTATGTACTTCAGGATGGCCTTGAACTCAGTACATATCCCAGGCTGGCCTAGAACTCGTGATCCTCTCCTGTCTCTGCCTCCCGAGTGCTGGGATTGAAGGTGTGTGCCACTGTGTCCTGTATTTTTTTGGGGGGCGAGTGGGGGCAGAGTCTTCTTATGTAGTTCAGGCTGACCTTGAACTCACTATGTAGCCCAAGCTGGCCTTGAACTCACAGCCGCCATCCTGTGTCAGCCTCCTGAGTGCTGCCGTTAGAGGTGTGAGCTACCACACCTGGCTCAATTTGTTTGTTTGATATTTTCTCATTACTAGATTGAGGCTGTGTAATCCTTCTGCGTGAGCCTCCTGAGTAGCTGGGATTACATACATATGCTACCAGGCCTAGCTCTGGATTTATTAATTGGAATTCTCCTTAAGAGGAACCACTGTCTCATTCGTTTATTTACTCAGTTGTTTTGTTTATATCGGTGTTATGGTTTAGATCTAGAATGTCCTCCAGAAGGGTCATGTGTTCACAGGTGGGTCTTTTAAAGGGTGATCGAATCCTTGGCATGCAAATGTGCTGTTAGGAGGTGGGACCTGGTTCAAGCAGCTATGTCATTGTGGGCATGGCCTGAAAGGGTGTATCTCCCTCCTTGACTCTGCTATCATGAGTTGAATAGCTTTTTCTCTGATGTTGCCCCTCTACCATCCTGCTTGTGCCTTAGAGCAAGCTTACCATGCCTTAAAACTATGAACCAAAATAAACCTCTCCTTCCTTAAGTTGCAGTATCAGGTATTATATTTCAGTAATGGAAAAGTGCGTAAGATAATAAGTATGGACTCATGGAATTTCGGTTCTAGGGGTTTTGAGATTTTTTTGGGGGGTGCTGGGGATTGAACTGGGGTACTCATACTTGCAAAGTAGGCTGTGGAATCACTGAGCTAAATCCCCAGCAGTTCTAGGGGTTTTGATACAGTATCACTTACTTTACTCCACAATTTGTTCCAAGTTTGGTTGTTGGGAGTCTTTTTGGGTTGATTCTTGTATCTTTGTAATGACATTATTCTTTTGTTAGGTTTTTAATTTTATTTATTTATTTATTTATTTTTGGTACTGGGGATCGAACTCTGATCCTTGTGCTTGTGAGGCAGGTGGCAGAACCACTAAGCTAAATCCCCAGCCCTTAGGTTTTTAAATTTAAATTTTAAAAATTACAGTAAAATTGGTACTTTTTTGGTGTACAGATCTGAATTTTAATGTGTATAAATTCATATGGTCACAACTATAATCAGCATATAGAATACTTCTATTAATAAAAAGCTCCACCTCTAATCACAGACAATGATCCATTCTCTATCATTGTAGTTTTGTTTTTGAGAATGTCATATTTACAAATGGAATTATACACTATAACTTTTTGAACTTGGTTCTTCTGTTGTATTATCATTAGTACATCTCTTTTTGTTAAGTAAATGTTCCAGCTTATAAAAACATTTGGATTCGATCCCCGGTCCCCCCCAAAAAAAAAAATTTTGAATTTTTTTTTTTGTGATTAGAAATGGAATGCTGTGAACGTTTGCAAAGAAGTTTTTGTATGAATATAGTGATCATTTCTAAAGAGTATACACCAAAAAATTAAATTGCTGCATTGTATGTAAAGTGTGTTTTATTTATTTATTTATTTATTTATTGAGACAGGGTCTCACTATATGGTTGAGACTGACCTGGAACTCACTGTATAGCCCAGGCTGGTCTCGAACTCACAGCAATCCTCCTGTCTCAGCCTCATGAGTGCTGGGTTTAAAGGCCTGCGCCATCACGCCCGGCTAAGTGTGTTTTATTTGAAGCTGCCAGTGTTTTTCAGAGTAGCCTAGCCTTCCTGTTTTATCTTTGCTCATTTTAAAAGCCATAAAGATATCTTGGTATCTTTGCTGCTTGGAACAGGTAGCTACCAGCAGGTGTCAGGAGCTATTCCTGCCCCGCAGAGCAACACAGAGCACATTTCCTGGTGTTTCTCTGTTCTCTTGCTGCCAGCAGATTCAGTCTTACCAACCTGGGCCACTGGCTGCTTTTGGGGCCAGTGACCTTTCGTGTTACCAGTTCTAACTGCTGGCCACTTGGTACATGTGGCCTTTAGTGCCACTGCCTCTTCATGTACCAGCTCACCATGCTCTACTCAAGATAGAAATCACAAATAGGCATAAATATGCCATCTGAGAGATACATTATTAAAACTTATGGTGTGTAGTGGATTGACCTGCTAAGTGCATGGGAAGATTGTTTAATAGCAACAAAAAGTGAGCTAGCACGTGCACAATGTGGCCTAGTGGGGGTGGGGGACCTTGTGGTCCTGATTGAGGGCTGCAGAAGGTTGGAGTCATCCAAAGAGGCTGCCAGTCAGAGTCCTCTGGGATAGGTCCTTGACTGAAGCTTGCTGCAGCCAAAGCAAATACATACTAAGAAGCAGCCATGGTGTCCCTGTTGCAGCCAGCTAGTGGTAGGGAATTGGAGTAGGGAACTCCCAAAAGAAAAAAATACCTCCTGGGAAGCATTGAATCCTTCTCTCTCGTCTCACTAGAAGTGTTTTTACAGATGTGATTCTTTTTTATAAAAGTGTTTATTAGTTTTAGATATTTTCTGATTATCATTTTTGAAAATGTGAGAATAAAGAAAAAAATCACTACATATCTAAATATGTAATAATTATGCATTTTTAAAAAAACAACTCTTTAGTGGAGCTAATGGCATATATTTTGTGTCCCACTTTTTTCTCTCTTTTTTTTTTTTTGGCTTCTTCCCATAGATCTTGAACCAGATGATTGTACATCCATTTACATCTTTAATGTAGATCCACCTCCATCTACTTTAAACTCACCACTTTGCTTACCACATCATGGATTACCGTCTCACTCTTCTGTTTTGTCACCATCGTTTCAGCTCCAAGGCCACAAAAACTATGAAGGAACTGGTGATGTTCCAGAATCTAGATACAGCCCATTAGGTGGTCCCAAACCCTTTGAATGCCCAAGTATTCAAATTACATCTATTTCTCCTAACTGTCATCAAGAAACAGATGCACATGAAGATGACCTAAATATAAATGACCCAGAAAGGGAATATTTGGAGAGGCCCTCTAGAGATCATCTCTATCTTCCTCTTGAGCCATCCTACCGGGAGTCTTCCCTTAGCCCTAGTCCTGCCAGCAGCATCTCTTCTAGGAGCTGGTTTTCAGATGCATCTTCTTGTGAATCTCTTTCACACATTTATGATGATGTGGACTCAGAGTTGAATGAAGCTGCTGCCCGATTTACTCTTGGATCACCTCTGACTTCTCCAGGTGGCTCACCAGGGGGCTGCCCTGGAGAAGAGTCTTGGCATCAACAGTATGGACTTGGACATTCCTTGTCACCCAGGCAATCTCCTTGCCACTCTCCTAGATCCAGTATCACTGATGAGAATTGGCTGAGCCCCAGACCAGCCTCAGGACCCTCATCAAGGCCTACTTCCCCCTGTGGGAAACGGCGGCACTCTAGTGCTGAAGTTTGTTATGCTGGGCCCCTTTCACCCCATCATTCACCTGTTCCTTCTCCTGGTCACTCTCCTAGGGGAAGTGTAACAGAAGATACATGGCTCAGTGTTTCTGTCCACAGTGGATCAGGCCTTGGCCCTGCACTTTTTCCCTTTCAGTACTGTGTAGAGACTGATATCCCTCTGAAAACAAGAAAGACATCTGAAGATCAAGCTGCCGTACTACCAGGAAAATTAGAACTCTGTTCAGATGATCAAGGAAGTATATCACCATCCCGGGAGACTTCAGTAGATGATGGCCTTGGATCTCAGTATCCTTTAAAGAAAGATTCATCTGGTGACCAGTTTCTTTCAGTTCCTTCACCATTTACCTGGAACAAACCAAAGCCTGGCCACACCCCAATATTTCGGTGAGTTGGTAGATATGGCTGCTGATCATTTTTCATGTTGTGTGGGTCATTGGTGGCATGTAATTATGTTATCTATTTATAATTGATCATTTTTTTCTCTTCATCCTGTCCTTTCCCTTACATCCCCTCTCTTACTTCCCTTTCCCTTTTCCTCCCTTTCCCTTCTTTTTCTCATTCCTCTTCCTTTCCTTTCCCTCATTATTATTTTCCTTTAAGTCTTTTTTTAATTTTCATTTTTTGTTTTTTGTTTTTGAGACAAGGGTCTTGCTATATAGTTCATGCTGGCCTTGAACTCATGGTGTAGCCCAGGCCACCCTCCAACTTGCAGCCTCCTGCCTTAGTCCTTTAAGTTGCGGGTATTACATGCCTGGCTTATTTTCCTTTAAGTCTTGAAAGTATTTTTAGATAGGCTAAAGTTATGTGTGTATATATATATATTTTTTTATTGTTTGTTTGTTTGTTTTTTGAGACAGGGTCTCACTATGTAGTTGAGACTGACCTGGAACTCACTATGTAGCTCAGGCTGGTCTCGAACTCACAGCGATCCTCCTGCCTCAGCCTCCGGAGTGCTAGGATTACAGGCGTGAGCCACCACACCCGGCTCTAAAGTTACAATTTTAAAAGTGTATAGGTAAGGGGTTGTATATGTGTTGCCTAGGCTATTCTCAAAATTGCCATCTTCCTGCCTCATCCTCCCAAATAGCCAGGATTACGGGCCTGTACTACCAGCCTTGGTCTTTGTGATTTATTTTTTAACTTTTTAAGTTTATGATTTGTTGTTCTTGTAGAGAAATTTAAGTTTTTTTGAACTCAGATTTTTCTTTATTGCTTAAGTGTACGCTATATTTGAAAGTCTTAGGCCAGGGAAATAACTCAGTGGTGCCATGTTTGCCTTGCAAGTGCATAGTCCTGAGTTCAATCCCCAGTGCCAGGGTAAATAAATAAGTGTATGGGATCAGGGAGCTCAGCGGTTCGGTGGCCTGCCTTGCAAGCGCAAGGACCCGAGTTCAATCCCCGATACCAAAAAAAAAAAAAAA